GTAGTCCCCCCCTTTGCTGAGGCCTTTCTCTGGCTTTTATAAAGCCAGAGAAGGTCTTGTGTCCCAGCCTCCAGAAATGGCGGGTATCATGTGTTAGGATACTGGCATGTAAACCCAATAAGATAAAAAGTAAGGGATAAGTTAAAACGAGAAATGACACACAAGAATTTATGTGGTTCACCCAATTTGGCTACATCCACGGGCAAGTATAGAAGGATTTTACTAAGTAATGTGGGAATACAACTTCTCTCTAATAATAGGAGAACAACAAAAATCTCTCTATTATTAGGAGAAAACACCTCACTTACTATCTCACAAATACCTCACAATTTTGTGGGATTACTCTCTTCTCACCCTCTCTTCTTTCTCTCTTATGGTGTGTATATAATGCTTGGATGCATTGCCTATTTATAGGCAAGCATCCATGCAGAGGCGAGAGATCGTGGCTTCAGGAATGACATCGTGGGTATAGTGGTCGTGATCTGCTGAATCTTCCCTGTTGAACCGGCTTCCTCCGCGCGAAACGAAGGAGATAATGAACGATGCTTCCAAATGGCGCCATTGTGTACTTGGGCATGACTGTTTTTCACTTTGGTCCCTAAACAGTTTAAGCTTAACAATTGGGATCCTAATCAGTAATAATCGATTTCTAATTGTGCCCTTGGGTTAATTTCAATTAAATCCCTGAATTTATTTAATTAATTAATTCAAAGTTTAATTAAGTCCACAAACTTATTAATTCTCCTGATTTCATTAATTAAACTAATCCAAATTTTAATTAAATTTATAAATTTATTAATTCTTGAATTTCTGATCAATTTACTCTCAAATATGATATTTCATCCTTGAATTTTGAGTTTGTGTTGTTTTAACCCAATTCTCAAATATATTTTTATCCATTTATTTTTTGTTATTTATTCAAAAATTAGGTTATGACAATTATCATTCCAAAAATACATTGGTTGCCAAAAATAAATAAATAAAAGTGATAAAATTTCTAGTTAGTGTGAAATAATTGATTTTTCTAAATGGATAATTATTAATAATCATCACATTTTAAAAGATGATGATGATGACATTTAAAAGTTATTAATTATCATCACATTTTTTAAAATCTAGGTTTGTTCCTTTTGGCTTGAAAATTATTTTACCTTGTTTGATTTTTGTATTATTAATTCTAACAATATTTTTAAAAAAATCTCAAAAGATGTATCTAAACCATATCTCAAAATCCAAAATTAGATGAAATTGTCATTTAAATCATTTAAATCTAAAATGATATTATGATTATTAAACAATCTAAATAAATAATAAATAAATAAAAGAGAAATACAAAAACAAGAGAGAAATAGGTTACATTTTCATTGATATTGCATAAAGGGATATGTTTAACTTAAATACAAAGATATTATACATAGGCTAAACTGAAAAGAAAATAAAAATATTATTTTACCCTTAATAAATAAAACAAAATAACTTATATTTCTTAACATCTCCCCTCAAACTCATGATCCGGCAACTATAAATATCGAGAGTTTGCCAAGTAAAAAATAAAAATAAGAAATATAATGCAACTTGGTAAAGAAATCTGCAATCTGTAAAGAAAAATAAATAAAAGATAAAGTAATTATGTCATGCTTGAGATGATGATGAGTAAGATGACAATCGATTTTAATGTGCTTAATTCTATCATGAAAAACTAAGTTGTGAGCAATCAGAATAGAACTCTGATTGTCACAATATATAAGAGTGGAATGAGAAAGGAAAACTCTCATATCTACAAGTAACCAATATAACCAAACAATTTCTTTGATAGTAGATATCATAACATAATATTCTGCTTCAGTTGAAGATCGAGAAATAATAGAATGTTTATTGCTTTTTTAAGAAACAAAAGAATCACTTAAAAAGATACATAAACCAGTAACAACTTGTGATTTGTAGGATCTCTACCATGATTAGCATCAAATTATGCACACAACTCTAAGAAAGAGGTGGATAGAAGTAAAAGATTAAGAAAAACTGTAACTTTAAGATATCGCAAAATACAAATAACAGTTATCTAATGAACGGTAGTAAAAAAAGTAATAAACGGACTAACAATATGAACAACATATGCAATATCTGGATAAGTAATAGTGAGATATATCAAGCTCCCGGCAATAGTACCGTATAAAGTAGAATGTGACAAGGTAAATCATCATAAGAAGAATACTTTGTGTTAACCTTAATTGAAGTATCTACAGTCTTATTATTAGTAAGTGTAGTTTGCTTAAGAATATCTACCATATATTTTGAATGAGAAAGAAAATAACTTTTGGATGAGTAGGCTACATCAATACTTAGAAGATATCATAAAGAACTCAAATCTTTCTTTTCAAACTATCTAGCTAACTTTGTCTTCAAAACTGAAATACCATTGATATCATCACTAGTAATAATAATGTCTTTAACATATAAAGACATAATGATACAACATGTATTGGTGCACTTAACAAAAAGATCAGAATCATAACTACTATAAACAAAACCAAGGAAAGAGAGCACAATAGAGAACTTTTCAAACCAAGCACTAGGTGCTTGTTTAATATCATATAATGATTTCTTGAGCTTTCAAACATACTCAGAATCATGTAAAATACTAAAAGGGGCGTCATATAAACTTCTCCTTAAAGATCTTCATTCAAGAAGGTATTTTTAACATCAAGTTGAGATATATGTTAATGACGAGCTGAAGCTACTGTAATAAAAGTATGAAGAGCAGTCATTTTTGCAACAGGAGTAAATGTCTCCTCATAATCCATATCATATTGTTGAGAGTATCATTTTGCAACCAAACCAGCTTTGTATCGCTTAAAAAAAATCCATCAATATTAATCTTGATCTTATACACCCTGCGACAACCAACATCACTCTTACCAAAAGGTAGAGGAATCAAATCTCAAGTATCTGTTTTATGCAAAGCATAAAGTTTCTCATCTATAGTTTGTTACCAAAAAGGATCAAGAATTACTTTTTTATAAGAAGAAGGCTTAGAAAAACAATGAATAGAAGCCAAAAAAGAAGTAAATGATGAGGAATAACAAGAACAAACAAAATCTGGTAACTTTGTTGACTTATAAAAGCATATGGATTGATGTAGAGGTAGATCCACAATCTCAAACGGAGGTGAAGAGATCGTAGCGAAGAATGAAGCTTTAGGTGTGCCGGAGAGTAAAGTGTCAGTACTTGCAGAATAATTAATACGAATTGGTCGAACATGAGGAGAGGTATTTGAGGTATTAGGAACCTGAGATGATAAACTATCAGAATCTATATAAAAAAGGATATATATAAATAAAATGAAATCTAGTCAAGCTATGAGCAATGGATAGAATAGAAAAGAAAGATATGTGCTCGAGAAACATAATATAACGAGAAATATAAAATTTCTGATTATTAGATCAAAACAATGATACCTTTTTTTACCTTCACCATAACTAAAAAATACACAAATAACAGATCAAGAGGAAAACTTATTGTGTTTTATACGAGGATAAAGAATGAAATAAATACAACAAAAAAATCTAAAGAAAAAATAATTAAGTGCATACTCATACAACTTTTTAAAATAAGATAAACCTTAAATATAAAAAAAATAAAATTGTATTAATCAAATATATATCAGTAAGAACAACTTTGCTCTAAAACACAATAGGAACTAAAACAGAAAAAAAAAGTAGTTTCAACAATATGACTATATTTTTTTTTAAGTAACATTACTTTATTTAAAAAAATATATGTACATGAGGTTTGATAAATAATTTTATTTAAGCTAAATAACTTATATAATTTATTAAAAATATATTTTCCATTCAAATTATACTTAAAACATTTAATAACAACGAAATGTTATAACGGTGGAGTACACCATTATAAAAAATTTCCAATTACTGTAACACTTCTATTATAAAAAGTAAAAATAAATTATTAACCCACTTGCTTTCTTACGTACGGTGGAGCACACCATACGAAAAACACAGCTAGCTGAACAAATCTCAATTCCACCAAAATTGTGAATGGACAAATATCTATAAGTTTCTGTTTCTGATATATATATATATAATAAGAGGATCTCTCTAAGACTCTTTTAACAGATTTGAAAGCTTCTGTACAAACCTCAAAAGGTAGGGAAAGCTAATTTTACAGCGAACAGAACCTCAAAAAATCTAAGTTTGATCTAAATGAGATTGAAAATTATATCTTTTATTATAAGGATACATGTTTAATCAAAATCTCCTACAGTTTCTTTTTCTTGTGATCTCACATCCATGATCTTTTTCATTTGTAGTACCATGAAACGACAATACTTCATCTAATTACCTGTTATACAGTAAGTATCTCAGCATGCCTTTCAAAACGACTGGAATACCGCAAAAATGATATTATGATTTAACTAACCCAATTGTTGATAATTGGATAGCATTTCACTCATCAGAATTTAACAGATACTCTTCATAGTTTCATATGTAGGTAATATTTGATAGTGTGATAATAGTTGTTTTTCAAAGTTTTTTTTTTAATATATTAAAATAATATTTTTTATTTTTTTAAAAAATTATTTTTAACGTAACAAAACAAAACAATCCAAAAACATGATAAAAAACAAAACAATCTAAAAATATAAAAAAATAAAAAAATAAAAAATATTATTCCTTTTTTCCTCATTGGAAATGCCTTGTACTCGGGTGGGGTACCTACTTTCGTCTACAAATTAGATAGCTATAATTGAAGGAAAAACAAAAGTGATCTTTTTACTAGTTGATAGAATCCTGCATCAACCAAACTCCATAGTAATTGACAGAACAATCAAAAGACCTCTCCAGTGTGCCAAGCTGCTTTACATCATTACAAAGGAAATTGAATAGCAGAAAAGTACTGGTTTTGCTTGCAAATATATATTTGAGTGAAGGATATGATATCATTAAATGAAAGTACAAATTAATCATTGCACATTGCCATGCCATGAAGATTGAACTATTACAGAAAGCAAGAGACAAGCTTATCATATTATTGCATATTATCAGAAATGGCGATGAAATTAGACTACAAACTTACAAATTTCCAACCCCATTTAGACCAAACCAAAAACAACCTTACCCCCGTCATAACAATTAACAAGAGTTATGGCTTATCAACAACAGACCTGAAAAAAATTACTAATAGACCAATTCAAAAGTGGCCAAAAAAAGAAAAACTTCCCTTTATTCCTCGCCATCCTCTCCTGCAAAACTCAGAGCCTGACAAACAGAGTCCCCTGCTTCAGCCTCTTCGATGCAAAAGTATGGTTTCTTCCCAACCAAATCAGCCACTCTTTTCGCAGCCCCTGAATCTCTTGGAGTCTCGGCAACACACCTGACAGTCCTAATCTTTGGCAACACATCAGCCACTGTAGAAACTGTCGGCGGAGATTTGCCTTCATCATCACCCTTATACACCACTACTTCAATTGGAATCTCCCACTTCTTCTTCACTCTACCACTGTCCATTCTCTGACACGCCCCATTTCCTCGCGAAGCCCTCCCCTTATTAACATCTTCCTTCTCATTATCCGGCAAAGACCTCTTCCGAGCCTCGCTAGCAGTTAGATTCCCATTAGACTGATTTGTTCCAATCTGATTATACCTACTAGCCACCACCCGTCCGGGCTTCAAGGGTTTCTTATTAGTAACAGATTTTTCTCCATCTTTGAATAGATTCTTTGGCTGAATTGAAGCAATAATCCCATCTTCTTTCTTCACTGATCTTCTAGACCCCACAGTAGTAACAGCCTGTTTAGGAAATTGAATCTTGGACACATTTTTTCGCGATCTTGGACTAACACTTAAGCTTTTTCCTCTCTCTTTAGTTGCCTTTAATTCATCTATCTCTTCAAGCTTCCAAAAACAAGATTTCCGCCGATTCTGAATCGAAACAGGAGTGTTCATGTCTGGTTTCCCACAGAATAACCTTGATTTGGATCCGGATAAAATCTCACTTGGCCCTAAACTGACTCCTCTTCGATTAATCTTCGATTTAGAACTTGGGATCAACGGTTCCTCAATCTTGACACTCTGTTTCTGATCCATAAATTTTGCAGCCACAATCCTCCCTCTCTTCTCAATAGTCTTTGATATATTCCTCTCTACCTTTTCAAGCCTAAGTGCTTCAAGTCTTGAAGATAAACGCTTAATCTCTCTCTCAATCTCTTCAATCTCCATATCAATCTTTTTCTCATCACGATTCTTGATCTCTTCATTCTTTTCCACCATCTTAGAAACCCCAATCTTCAAAGAACTACTGCCGAGTGAGTTAACTAGATTGGTATTTGATTGAAGTGGCTTGGTGGGGCTTGAAGAATTGACAAAAACAGGAGATGATAGTTCACAAACTGGGCTAAGATTCTCTTTACTTCCATTGGATTCAAGACTTTGAGTCCACCAAGAAGACTTAAGATTCAAAGAATCCTCTGATTCTCCATTATCAAACGCTGCATTGTTCCATATTTGAACTTCTGGGGCATCAACCGCATCTGGGTATTGAAGAAGACTACTCATCTTTCTTGTTGCACTATCAAAATGGGGGGTTTTCTTTGTTCTTTTCACAAATCAAGATTTGACCTTTTTCAAAGGAATCTGTGAGTTTTTGAGAGAGAGAGAGAGAGAGAAAAGGTGAGGATTATTTGAGTTTAATGAGGGATTTTTGGGGTGGTTTTGTGTTGTTTTAAAGATTTTTTGATCGTTGGAGAAAAAGTATACGTTGGAGCCTGATGGTGGAATACTGACAGTTCCATAAACGGCTTATACTAGACGCTCCCCTTTTGATTTAAAGGGTTATTTGTCAAGAAAAAAAAAAGGAAAATTTTGTGCGGGATGGGAACTGGATGCATTGTTTATTTCCTGTTTGATGAGTAAGAAAGAGCATATTTGAATAGTGTTAAAGGGTTTTTGGGAGTAAATTTTGTTAAAATTTAAAAATATTATTTCAATAATTTTTTGAGAGAAAAGAAGCTATTATAATTCCTAATATTTTTTAAACCTGATCAATCTATTTAATATATCATTCTTTATTCATATGTTATTTAATTCATATGTTATTTAATTTATGTATAGTAAACTAGATGAGTATTAATTGAATTAATTTATAATTCGATTAAAATCTAGTTTAATTTTTAAAAATAAAATTTAAAATCATAAAACTTTAATTTTTTATTAAAAATTAAAAATTAATTTATTTTATTTAATTCAAATTAAATCAAATTAATCCATATAATCATGTCATAGTTATATAATACGTTGGAGAAAAAGTATACGTTGGAGCCTCATGGTGGAATACTGCCAGTTCCATAAACTGCTTATACTAGACGCTCGCCTTTTGATTTAAAGGGTTATTTGTTAAAAAAAAAAAAAAAAAGGAAAATTTTGTGCGGGATGGGAACTAGATGCATTGTTTATTTCCTGTTTGATGAGTAAGAAAGAGCATATTTGAATAGTGCTAAACGGTGTTTGGGAGCAAATTTTGTTAAAATTAAAAAAAAAAAAAATAAAGTTTTTAAATTATTTTGATGTGTTAATGTTAAAATTAAATTTTAAAAAATTTAAAAATATTATTTCAATAATTTTTTTTTGAGAGAAAAGAAGTTATACTTCTAAATATTTTCTAAACCTGATGAATCTATTTAATATATATTCTTTGTTAATATGTTATTTATTTTATGTATAATAAACTAGATGAGTATTAATTGGATTAATTTATAATTCAATTAAAATCTAGTTTAATTTTTAAAAATAAAATTTAAAATGACTTAACTTTGAAATTTTATTAAAAAATAAAAATTTATTTATTTTAATTAATTCAGATTAAATCAAATTAATCCACATAATCATGTCATAGTTATATAATGATAATCAGGATCAAACAAGATTTAATAACTTTGATTTGAATAGGAAATGACCGATGATTACTACTACGAAATTGGGCCGCCCTCCCATAGCCGATGATACTTTGGAAGTTAGGGGGAGAAGGCAAGAAAATCATAATAACCCGTATGACTAATAATCTCATTAATCATTTTGTTAGCAAGATCGAGGAGGTAAAAAATCATAATTATATCCTTCAAGTTGGTTTCTTTTTTTTTTTTTCAATTAGATGGTATAAAATATTTTCATATGATTAAGGGTTGATAAATCAGCATATGGATCTGATGATCCTCTCAACACTGCTAAGAATCTCAGTATGCAAGCAACCGAACAGCAGATTGTTGTAAGAAAGAAATACACAGTGAATTTTATTCCCTTTCAAGCAAAATGATTAGTTAAAATTGGAAGAAAATGGAGCTGCTCTTCCTTGACGTATCAGTTCATATCACAGCAGCAAAAAGAACCCAGAAAGGAAGTATCAGCTGCAAGTCTGTAACACACAGCAGGCTCCAGGATACTCAGTGTCCCCATGAGCAGGTACCTTGCCTCCATGTTGCCACAATAATACAGACAGTTCCCGGCTGAAGAGTCAAAGGAGAAAAGATAAGATTAAATAAATAAATGCACAGTACCGAAGGAGAAGGCACCACACATATTTAAAAGAAATCTTGCTTACACTTAAAATAAATATTTCCTTAATTCATCATGTGTAATTGGACTGAATTCCAAGAAATTTGTTGACAAGGATCATATTAGATGCTCAGCAAAAATGAAGGACTAATCAAATGACAAGCCAGATTCTATTAGCATTGTTCAATAATAATCAGTTGCAGAAGCAAGCAGAATTTTAGCTACAAAAAGAGGGCTGACTTTTTTGAAGGATTTAGGCATCCAGTTTTTGGAATCCCAGGGATTAATTAATTTGTTACATAAAGATATAAGTAATAATTTATACTCTGCCAAACTATCAAAACATAGTTAAATCTGTTAAGGGATTGGTTGAAAGTGTGATTATAATTGTTTTTTAAATAATTTTTTGTATTAAAAATCTAAAATACATGTTAATAATATTTTTTATTTAAAAAAATTATTTTTGATATTAATATATTAAAATAATTTTAAAACAATAAAAATATATTAAATTAAAGTAAATTAAAAAATTAAAATTTTTAAAAAATATTTTTAAAATGTTGAAACAAACATGAAACCTTCTCTGAACTATTGTTATTCATATTATCGGATTAAAGGCTTAACTTGAATATTAAATTTATTAAAAAATATAAAAAATTAATTTTAAAATATTTCAATTTTTTATAAAATGTTATTTAAAACACAATTTTCAAACAGTGTTTTAAATAGTTAGAAATGCCATTTAAACTGATTGGTTATCCATCTCATAAATATTATGTATGATTTGATCAACATGCGCATTTCATGTGATTTTTTTCAATAATCGAATACAAAGATGAGTAGTTATTCGATTATTAAATAAAATAAATTATTTGAATGATTAAAGATTTATTCACATTTTTTTTTAATTATCATTGCATTATAATCCACTCACAGTTACAATATCAATTTATTTAAGATATTGAAAAAAAATTAATTTTTTTATTAAAGCTAAAATAGAAACTACAAGAAACACATAATTTTATTATTACATGTAAATAAAAGAGGATATAATATTGAAGAGATCTATTCAAATATTATAATTATAGTTAAAAACTTTTTAGCAATTAGTTTCTGTTTCAAATTATAAATTATACAAAAATATCATTCTTATTTCCAATTAATTGTATATATTTATATGTTTCAAAGACCTGAATTTTATTTTCATCGTTAAATTTATTTTGATTTAAGTGGCTAAATTTAATTTGTTATAATTAAGTGGCTAAATTTAAATTTAAATTTGTTAGACCAGGTAGTTGATTATTTATTAAGTTTAAGATAATATTTTCAAGATAGAATTGAATCATTAGATTATTTTTCTATTAAAGAATGTTAATCAAAATATAATTACTGTGAGATGTCTTTTTGAAATACAAAATATCTCATTTCCGGCAGATCTTGAGAATTAAACTGTTATAGTTTTTATAATAATATATTTTATCCATTATATTAATTAAAATTAAGATAGAGTAAATAAAATATATATTCATTAAAAACACAAAATCTTGCTCTGTACAATTTTTTTCTTAACAAAGTCACATTAATCTATCCCTGTAATCCTGGATAGAATGTTCACAATTACACTCCAACTCGCCCAGTCAATTCAATCTCCTCTTAATACTTCACAACTCACCGAGTCAAAACTCGCTCTCACCACCGAGTCAATCATCCTCTCTCTTAAACATGAGTCTCCTTGCTATCTCCTCACCCCTGACCCCAGCAATTTAAGTACATCACTCGTCTAAGAGAATCATCATTTTGCCTCAGTCCTCCTTCTAATCCACAACTCCCAAAAACTCCACCACAATCCGATTCAACTGAACCAGCAAGTGGCCGAATCTCCGTGGCATCTCCTCGGGAGAACACCCTCATCTTACCTTGTTGCAGTGATTTTAAGTTCGATTTCCACCCTTGATCAGGGTGCCTAACTGCAGCCACGGTAGCTGCCACCCAAACTCGGTTCAAATAACTCATCTTCCAGGCCTTTCCGATATATCGGCAGAAAAAATTACAAAAAATTACGGAGGGAGGAATTTTAAGCTTGCTTGAGTGCTGGGAGGGAGGGCTGGGTGTGTGGTTTTATAGAGGGAAAAGTGCTTGTGGTTTTGTAAAACAGGAAGTGGTTTCCTTCGATAAAGTGGTTTGGGATAGGAGTCGATTAGTGGTGGGCCTGAGGATCGACGTTTGATGTTTTGTACAGAAGTGAAGTTTTTATCACGATAAATTGTGTATTGATGTGCTTGGAATTTCAAATGTCTAAAAACTTTTGTATTTTTTCCATATATTTTAATGAGATTTTATTTTGAATGGGTATAATTACTTTTTGGGTAGCAACCACACCATTATATATAATTTCTTAATAAAATATTTTATACTATGATTATCGTTTAATAAAAGCCAAACATTATAATAAGTATAATTCTTTTTCTCGCAAAAATACCTATCACGATCTAAGAAAAACTCTCCAATAGAAAAAATATTGTTTATAATAAATTTTGTAAAAAAATTAATTTTAGATAAATGTGATTATAATTTTAAATTTAAATTTAATTTTTATATTTTTTTAACTTATGTTGAGTAAAGGAAATTAACGTACTATATTTGAGAATTAATATATTGTTGCTTTTATTTTTATTTTTTTTAATAAAGTGGAAGGGTTCGATAAAACGAAAGAAAATGATTCACTGAAGCGTGGAATTATCACGAGAAGAAATGACGATAAAGTGTAATCTTGTAACAGGTAAAGGGAGCAACAGGTGTCGACCTTATCTACAACCCACGGTTCATCTTTATCTGACCAATAACAGCTCAACACTCTTATCAAGTGGGGTCCCACAGGAATTGAAGTTAATTTTGTCTTTTTCTTGAAGTGCTAGACCACGTGATGAGGGGACACGTGCTGTGACGAGATTCGGACATGGCTCTTTGTCTGAATGGGCAGGCAGGGATGTCACGTGCTGGAAGATCCATTATTGTAGTTGTTGTAGACTTGTATTGATGGTAAAAGATAGTGCTAGCATGGAGGGATGCTAGGGAAGCTTCCAAAGCGATGCCGTTTGATTGAAGATAGTGGTGTTTACAAGGAGACATCATGTGAATAGATTTCCCAGTGGATGGTTGATGGAATTTGGATTTTTTTTTATAAATATTTGTTTTCAAACTAGTTGCT